ATGAAAACATCATCCCAAGAACATCTGGAGCAGGCCAGATGTGCTTAGTTGGTGCTACGCGTATGCCCTCAAAATTTGCTTCCTTTTTAGCACTTGTATGGAAGGTGTTCAGAAGAGAAGGCTACTCGAGGGCCGCTAGTGAAACTGCATGGCACTGTACCCCTTGTTTGAGACGTGTCTCGAATGGATCCACGGGAACAACTGTCCTTACAAGTGTGCAACCTGCTCTAAGCACTTCGCCGAGAGGACTCAAACCCAACAGCCATGTGTGGAGGCTCTGGTCTTTCTCTCTTTCAAAATATTTGTTGCATCTTGTCTTTGTTTATGCACACCTTTTGCCAGCTCTTGTCCTACATTTTGTTTGCACCATAGTCATTGAGTGTTGAACCCTTGCTCAGTTGCGTTAACAGATGCAAGGGCTTGTCCCTCATACTGTCTATTTATTAATAACTGGAATTCCATCACTAATGGAACAGCGATTTAATGTGATCCCATTGTATTTTGCAGCAGGTGTTTGGCTCTGCTTCTTTAACATGAAGATGTAACCTGTGTTGGTTTCTGTCTTAGATCTATTGCCAGTTACTATTTTTTGTTTTTAAATTCTGTTTATGTTGTGATAAATGTTTGTTTTGTAGAGTTTGTTGCCTTTGTGTTCAGGGTTAAAATTTCATTCCTTCTTTCTCATTCAATACAATTTAACGCTACTGTCTTTGGAGTATTAAACCTGAACATTGTTTCCCCACTAGAGTTTGAAGATTCCTGTGATCATCATAAGAGTCTTAGTCACTCAGTCGCACCGAGAAATATCTTCATTATCAGATAGTTGCATCAGTTTAAGAATTGTTTTGGTCTTTCAATAACCAGCCTCCATCATATACTATTGGGAGAAAGCTGGCATTTTTCTTTTATCTGGTGTTAAGATTTTTGTTCGCAGCCTGTTTTATGATGTGCACGGTTATTTCACTGCTCACTTGCCACATTGCCTTTCTTATGAAACACATTAGTGTTTAGTTCTTCAAATTGACCTTGTGTATTTTGGTGCACATTGGTCGAAGTAGTGTACACTGTAGACAGAGTTAGTGCAAACACTCAGCCGTGCTTCTTGTTTTCTTCTTGCAATTGAAAATCTGTCATCTAAGTTACTAGTATGATGGGATCTGCTTTCCTGAACAGCAAACCAAGATAGCAGACTGTAGTGTTCATTACTTTTGGGTGAGGTGATCATTTAAAAATGTTTCTATTTTAAAGTGATATGAGAGAAAGTGCAATGTCATTTTTGTTTTCTGTTGCACAGCATGCATTATCATTTGTGCTGTTCGTAACCAGCAGGTTTACTTTTTGTGTTTAAGTTTTTATAACATTCAAGTATTTCATAGAGAGAATTTGTCTCATCATTAGTGTAGCGCTTTCTAAGTTTTATGCATACGAGACATTGAAAGTGAAAGATCAAACTAGTGTTACTTTGAAAGAAGAATACCAATGTTTCTTCTCAGCGTACTAAATTTTAGTTTTTAGAGCTACACATCAGATTCATATTCCTATATAACTACCGTAAAATACCGAGAAAGCGCCCCCCCACCCAACTCAAGAGATAATTCAACCAAAATATGGGGGGGGCCCTTCCTCGGTTCCGCACCAATATTCAAGATGGCGGATAAAGAATATGGCGGCCACTAAAAGTATGCAATCTAGACTGCAGTCTTAGCAAAAATGATTTCCGTAGACAGTTTCCTTGCGAGCTTTGTCCTTTTATTCGCTGTTGAAACCATCGAAGGATTCCTCAGAATCTGACCCAAAAACCAGGTCCACACACTCATCCCTCAGCTCGTCGCGGTCTTCCGGGACCACGGCGCCGATGTCAGCGAGCCGATCGTGCAGCTCACCGTCCTCGGACCCGTCGAGCGCGTTCGTAATGCCGCAGCCCTTGAACGAGCGCTCTACAATTTCCTCTGGGACGGCAGCCCACGCCTCAGCCACAAAGTCCAGCACATCCTGTCGGGATGGTTTCCGCAGGTTTCCCTTCGGCGTTTTCTCTCCCTTCCGCATAAAGGCCTCCCAGGTTCTCCGAAGATTGGCCTTAAACGGCTTGTTCCAAAAGACGTCGGCTGGTTGAAGAAGGCTTGTGCAACCGGCTGGCACGTACACGATGTCAGTGTCGCATTCCTGAATTGCATCTTTTGCCGCTTGGGTCTTGTGTATTGGCGCCTGGTCCAACACCAGGAGCCGGCGTGCGTCGTCAGTGTTAGGGCCCCATACCTTGGTCAGCCACTCCTTGAACTTCTCCGAAGTCATCCAGCCATTTTTAGAAGCGGTCACGCGGCAATTCGCTAAAGATGAAAAAAAAAAAAAAAAAAGACATTGTATTTAACGCGAGCTCATAATGCATTATACTATTTCTCTCGGTGGCAAAATAGCAAGCGAAATGTTGTTCTCACCTGGTACACGAAGGCTCATGAAGGCCCTCGCTGGAATTTTTCCGCTCGGCTCCTTCAAGATGATAAACGCCGGGAGCTTGTGACCAGAGCCGCAGGCTGCTAAGGCAACCGTGAAACCCCGCCTTGAAGGCACAGCCGGTGTTTGTAATCCGGACAGTACTTTCTCCCACGAGGTTGTTGGTCCGGTTCGCCGGAGTGTCCATTCGGACCATTGTTTGATCCATATTCGCTATGTTGAATAGAGTCAGGTTGTGGCGACTTCGCAGAGAGCCGATTGCAGCACGGAATGCTTGCGTCTCCTCCGCGCAGTCCTCGGGCACTTTTTGGCTCTCATTAGTTGCTTGCCGCATCGAAACACCGAACTGTGCCTTCCACCTTTTTAAATACATACTGGAGGCCACAAAATTGCCCACCTGTAGGTTATTTGCTAGCCTCACAGCTTCTTCAGAAAGGAGCCTGTTGCTGACGGCGCGTCCAGCACTTCTTTCGCACTCAAAAAATTCAAAAAGCGCGTCGTCCACTTCCTTGCTGAAAACGGGGGCTCCGTTTCCCAACTTGCGTCGCAACTTCGACTTTCCGAAGTTCTGTTGAAGAAGCACTTCATACTTCTTGTCCCATTCGCGGATTCTCTTGCGATCAAGCTTGAACTGACGCGATGTCCGATGCACGTTTTTGCCATTCAGCCTGTGCCACTGGACGACCTCTATCTTCTTTTGCACAGTGTACGAGTGCAGAGCGCACGCAGTAACGCGACTGGTTCAGGCACCGTCAAACAACAAAATGGCGAACGAAAGGTTCACGTGGTTCACGTTTACTTTTGGATTGGATTGGATCCCTGGCTACACATAAAAACAAAACTTCCAGAACGAAACTTCCAGAACGAAACTTTTTTTCGGGGCCACCGGCAGCGGAAAAAGGGGGAGGGGGGGGGGCGCTTACTTGGTAGTTTACGGCAATGCGAAATGTGCGGAAAAAGGGAGGGGGCGCTTACACGAGGGGGGGCGATTACGCGGTATTTTACGGTAGCGATTTTCTCACATAGATATCATGCATGTGACCACAATTAAAAGTGATTTTAACAATGAGTTTTCTCACATGCATGTTGTGGAACATGCAAAAGCTTATAGCTTTCTGTTTGTGCAAGCATGCACATTTCTGCTATTCATGTAGTAATGGCTTTCTAAATTTTTGTTTACTTATGGCCTGTGGGTACTTAATGTCAACTTGTTTGATGTAAAATAAAATGTATATTGTTGTTGAGGAGCTAACATTTTCTACTCATCGTTTGTGAGGTTATCTTTCCCGTTTTGTGTCGCTGGTCGTATGCGTCCAGACCATTGTTCAAAGTTCGACATAATATTGAGGCAACAATCTCGACCATGTGGCTGTCGTTCGTAGTAAAAAAATCTGTTGCTCTGTTCAGGTTAAAGCTTGGAGCATGTATCACTCGAATAGCCCTCGCCTTTTACATGAATTTGTTTTACGTCCTAGCCTCTTGGCTGCCCCAACGACCTTGTATTTTTTGATGTACTGAACAAGTAAGGAAGCATTGTGATGCCTCAGTTTCAACTGCCTTCATTTCTTTCTTTTTATGGGAACCCTCAAATTAAAGACTTACCTATAAGCAGAAAGGAGGAAATTGTCCCTCTCCCGATCTTCTACCCACTTACAAATTTATCACACTGTGAAAAAAAAAGGATGAGGAGGAGAAGGAGGGACTTTCTTCCGGGCAAAAGATAGTTCCTAGGTCGTCCTTCAAAATTGTAGTAACGACATTCCTGGTCTCAATGAGGTCCTGTGACGAAAAGTTGAACTAGCACAGAAAAGAGTGCGTTGCCAGGTGCGACTCTAGTCTGTTACAACGTAAGATGAGCAGCAGAGGCTCTGCCTTCAGCTCGCGCCTGATGCCTTTCAGCACGCGTCGAAGTGTTATGAAAGATAGAAAGCTCGCACTGGAGGTGGGGCATTGATCTTATGTTCTGACTGACTACAGTTTCTGGTATCTCTTGGGGGCCGCTCGACCGTTCCAACTTACAATGTCCAAAATCGTACCTGACTTTTTTTTTTTTGGGGTGTATGTAGTTTTACCTTTAATGTCTCATATGAAACAAAATTTGGATTTTGCAAAATAAGGCCACAGAAGCATTGAATGGGACGCTAGGAACACCAAAACATCACTCATACATCAATATCTCAAACGGATAGCCATACTTTTGAAAAGGAAGGGCGCGATCAAGCGAGGTCTTTGACATCATTGTCCTCCAGGAGAATTTGAGAATGGAGGAAAGTGGCCTGGCTTCTCTCCTCCTCGCTTCGGTTTACCAGCTTGAGGGGACGTAGCAAGGAGGAGAGAGAATGGGAATCGTGTTGTGACTTGTCTCGTCTCTTTGGCCGTGTTCAATCGTGCGCTTCTTTTCCAAAAATATGGCGATCTAATAGAGATATCGCTGTATGAGTGATGTTTTTGGGTTTTGCAGTGTCCCGCCTATCTGTCCAGTCTTGTTTTGTGAGCTCGAAATTTCGGTTCAGTATCCCTTTAAAGCAGGTTCTCCCCTTGCAGGGGCTCTCATCACGCCCACCTCGGATGGTTCTGCTGCATCTCCTGGGATTACCGCACAGAGTGTGAGCAGAGCATGGTGGTTCGAGTTTGGATGCGCATGGCCAAACATTCCTTCAACTGCACTGGCTGCTCCAGGACTTTTGGGAATGGGGACAAGCGTGAAGAGCACATGCACACACATGCAGGCATGAAGCCCCTGAAGTTTTCTGTGTGCTTTGCGGCAGTTGTACACAAGAAGTGGCTGTTGAAGCAATAAAACTTTGGTTGGGGCTAGTTGGTTCATATTGATTAAAAGGTTAAAAGGCGCGAACAAACAGGACAAAAAAAGAGACACGTACGACACGGACAGGCGCCAACTTCTACCTGATTTATTGAAACACAAATCATCGTCAAACTCGATCCCAATCGCCTGTTGCATGTGTTTAGGCGACTGGGATCGAGTTTGACAATGATTTGTGTTTCAATAAATCAGTTGGAAGTTGGCGCCTGTCCGTGTCGTACGTGTCTCTTTTTTCGTCCTGTTTGTTCTCGCCTTTTAACCTTTTAACTGATGAAGCATATTGAGCATCATGCTGGCAAGAATTCGCTTTTGTGCAAACTCTGCAGTTACTCGTTTCCGGGAACGGTTGTCTTAACAGGCAGCTCGGTAGCCACGTGGAGATGTAAAATGGCTGCTGTGTCAAAAGAGATGCAGATGTGCCAAACCTCTGTTGCTGTGGCCAGGAGACAATAACATTGAGTAAATTTTTTCTTTGTTTAGAAAGAAGGTTTTTGAGAGAATGCGCAAAGTTTTCTTCTGTTGCACATGTTGGTTTTCCGTTAATTAGCTTGACCGCTGTTTTTTTCATGCAGTTATAGTTAGGGTTTTGCATTTTCAGAGTATGTTATTTGGGAAAAGGACCACTATGAAGCACTTGTGGATATTGAAGCGTGCAGGATCTAGAAGATAGCTTTTACAAAAGATGAGGAGGCCAGAATGATGCCTAGTCAGTCTAGCCCTAGCTCTTTCCCGAACATTCTAGGTCGATTATTCAAGATGACTATTCGAAATGACGAGCATAGTAGATAAAGAGCCGTGGGTCATATTGCTGATTCATTCACTGATTCTCTCTCACGATGGCCACCTGTCATGCCAGCGTACCGTCGCTTGCCACTGCCGGCATTCGGAGATGCTTTCTCGATGTGTGTGTTTCTTTTTTTGTTTCTGGCACGAGTTCGTCCCCATTAAATCTTTAGTTCATTCCGTTTTCTCTTGCCTCGTCGTCTGTCATTCGTGACAATATTAGAACATCCGTGAGAAGTTTTTTTTTTTTGTCATCTTCTACACCCGAGGCGAGGAGCAAAATGCGGACAACACCTACACAGTGTGTTTCTATCACTTTTTGTTCCTAGTCTTGTGTATTCAGATGTTGAAGGTTCATCAGCTTGCCTGCATCTTCTCTGTTATTTCTATTAATTTTTGTTTTCATAGAACAGAGTTTTGAATAAATGGTTTGAAATATTTTGGGTATGTGCTGCGAGTTAAAGGGGAAAAGTACTACTGTCGCGCCCGCTTATAACGAAGTTGGTTATAACGAAATAGTGGCTATAGCAAAGCATTCAGGATTTCCCATTCCCATTTCCACTTTTTCAACGTATGATGATGATTAGAAGTTTAGTAAGGTGGGGGAAACTAAAACCATAGTTTACCAAATGCAAATTTTGCAACAAGCATAATCAGTATCTGAAAAGTAGTTACAACTAATGTAAATAGCCAACATAAAAAAAAAAAAAATTTGTATCTGTTTTTAGCAAAGGAAATTGAGTGGCTCCTGCAGATATAATGAGAAGAAATTTTGTGGTAAGTTTTTAACCAAAGCCAGAAAGTTAACCAAGTCGCACACCACAGTAGACGATGCTGCAAAGGCTGGCAGTGGCAGCTTCTGCATTGTCGTCTGGCACCCGCTCCTTACTTTGGAAGCGGTTTTTTTGCATCGCGTGCGGAGAACCCGTCGTGGCATGCCGATAGGGGCATTCAGTGCGCTAGCGGCAACATATCAATGGAGAGCCTAGATTTAAGAGAGGTAGCAACTCTAAATTTATTGTGGACGCCTTCTAAGCATATAGGCGCAAGTATGCTTGTGTTGGGTTGTGGCATGACCAGCGTGGTGAGGGTACCAGGCAAAGGGGCAGAGACGTTTGCAGACGGTGAACGCATTTGACTCCTTGTAGGGTGCAGCTCGTTTTGCAAATGCGACCTAGAAACCACGTCACCCTGATTGAGAAGTTACCCCACTCTCTTAGATCTAGGCTCTTTATACCAATGAGATGCAAACTTGAGTGCAAACTCGGTGCCGTGTGCACTTCTTTGTTTGCTTCGTGTTTCGTGTCTGCGTCGCTGGTCAGCGTGGTCATTCTCTGTGCAAAAGTCTAACTGCTCAAGCACCGATTCAGCGAATCATTGCTACTCAACAATGGTGGGTCCTGGCACTGCCGGCGCCTAAATGAGGAAGAGGAAGGCAATCTCCTTAAAAGAATAGCATGCCATCCTCGACGAAGTACGCTAAACGTAAAGAATGGTGTTTACGGCAGCTGTCCTCCGCGACAGCCATTGCGGCTATTGACATGATCCGTACGTAGCTCTCAGGATCTTCCTTCACTCGGGGCTTCTCGCAGTTGACGAGAAGCAATTTCGATCTGCAGTCGCCGACCGATTTTTCGCATGCCTATAATTTTGACTTGTTCAATATTTCGGACCTAAACAAGGAATCGTGACCTACCCGACAGAAATGGTGCATATTTACTAGCAATGTTTCGGGCAGCTTGAAGTTTGAAGATTTGATTTTTCTGACAAAATTGTCCCGAGCGATCAGCGGGAAGCACTATTGAGAAGTTGCCATTTTAGATTCTACGTTGGCTGCACATGGATTGCCTTGGTTTGGCAGTGCTACTTGAATACTGCTAAATCCTACCGCTAGATGATGCTACGCTACGGATTTTTTATCTAGCTGTGCATCATTATCACCATCTTTGTTACCATTTTGCTTTGTTCATTCGCCATTCTGCAGGTGTGGACTTACACCTGTCATCTCTCTGTGAATTGTGTCTTCAAACTACGCTGGCTTGACGTCCTGGCCCCATCCACTCTTCCGTTGCCGCAAAGGGTCGCTAAGAAGCGCGAAAAGTACTCGACCATAACTCTAGAAAAGAAGGCAGCGGTTGTCAAGCTAATAGAAAGTGACCGAACGTAAGTGGAGGTGTAACCTGTAGGAAGGCACTTTGATGGCCTTTTAGAGCGCAGCTCTTGGGCGCCCGTTTCCGGCTTGAGCGGCGTCGCCGTTAGCGTAATTGCACGGTGCATTATGGGAAATGTCCCATAATGCACCGTGCGAGCCCCCCTCCCCCCCCCCAGGGGTCACCCCTCCCCCCCCCCGAAGTCATGTGACCCCCCAGTTCACATGAGCCCCCAGGTCACGTGACCTCCCCCCTCCTCGAGGTCACGTGACCCCCCCCCCCCCCCGAAGTAGATTCAAGAATGAGGGGAGGAGAAGGGAGGAGGGGTATACCTTCCCCTCAGTACCCTTCCATCCTCCTCCTCAAGAGCTGCGCTCTAATTCGGCGTTACAGGGAGCTGTAAACAGCTTTCACTTTTTTTATGCTCGCTTACAGGTAATAAAGGCAAGTTTTCTAATCTGCTGATTTTTCTAACTGCTCTATTATTCGGACATTTTTTGGGGGTCTGCAAAGTTAAAAAAAAGTGTTCGGTGACTGTAGCAGCAAGTGTGTGTAGGGAAACCTCAACCACCTTCTGCACTCACAATAAACACGTGCCCATGACAACCTGTGTTATCCTTTTTGCATATTACTTTTATAGAGTCTAGACATAACCAAGAAGTGGATATAGCGAAATGATTTCCAATTTTCATTGACTTTGTTATAACCGGTCTTGACAGTACAAAGACCGTTTTTTGTTACCAAACCCTGATGCTCTTTTTGTACCACAACTAATTTTATATTTCCAAAGATTCTCGTTCTCAATACTTGCTTTGTCCAGATCAGTGTCATATTTTTTCTGTGTGCTTATTGTGGATTGGTTGAACTCATCTTATTTTGGTGCCACAATCTTGTTCAAGTTGATAGATTGTCTGCAGCTATTTTTGTTTGCAAAGTGTTTGGTTTTCTTCATTCAAGAGGTTGTACGAGCAGTTGTGTGTGTGTGGTTTTGTTGTTTGTAAGATAGAGATAGCAAAAGCTCCTGCATCTTCCAACATGCATACTCAAAAGTGGGCATCTCCTAGCCATACTATTTAGCTAAGCGTAAGAAGGCAGGGGAGCTGAAAAAAATCACTTTGTTTGTCAAGACCTTGGCAGAAAGGAGATGGAAGTGATAGAAGCTCTAGAATGGTGCCTGTCTGTCGGTCATTTCTTCTTTCTCCCTTAATCTCTAGTTTCCAAAGCAACCTACTTATGAACGACAGTTTTGCCAAAGTTACAATAAACTGGCCACAGAAGAGGGAAGTGACGGCCGAGACTTTTAGGCACACCATGTTATAGCCTGCAGGGCTCTTGCATGTGTGACCTTGAGGATTATTTCCAAGGTGCCTTGAAAATCCTTGTGTCATCTTGGACCGCAAACACCAAAGATAGCACCAGCTCTTGTGCACGTTGTGGCTTTGGCATGCGTCCCTGGTCTTGTGACAAAAAGGGAATGAGAAAGGACCTGGCCGCATGCTTGAGTCCTTGCTGGCAAAGCACGGAGACTTGATGCAATATGGGTGCCATGTCAAACCGTAGACAGAGATGTCCTAAAGGTTTTGCATAAAGACATCTCAAATGTTGATACCTGCCTGTTTGTTTCTCGGAGGACTTGTTTATAACTAAAATATGCAGTTGCATCAATTGGCACGAGCTTATGGCTATGGCTATTGCCTTGCTGTCTTTCCTCTACCTATGTATGAGTGATCTTGCACTGGCGGCATTTGGTGGCATGAGATGATGGGTGTTTGTCGCCTGAACTCGATAAACCTAAGATGAAGCTTGGGTTGGCACTGTGTAGCTTGGGTTCTCAAACTCGGTTCCTAGGAACCCAGGGGTTTTCCGGAGTACTCTGGTGGTTCCTTGAGCTTTCAAATTTCTTCGACTGCTCCTGTTCTTAAGTGAACTGTTCCTTTTAGTTCAAGCACTATCTTAGAAGATCTGAGCTGTTCATCGATGCATAGCAGTGTGCTAGGCACTCCCTTCAGACCTTTCCAGGTCTGTAGTCTTCTGTACTGCTTTATTGTATCAACAATGTGACCAGACGGCATTCTTTGGCCATTAGTCAGGAGATATAATAGGCTGTCTCAGCAGTAAGAAGGTTTGAGAATTCGTGCAGTAAACAATGGGCATGCTCACACACCGAGGTTCCTGACGCGAACTTTACTCGTGACGTGCCTCAGTCTCAACGAGAGGTGCGAAGCCTACCTTGCCGACACTTGCCCTCTTTGGCATGTTCCAGAATGCCCGTCGTCCTTCGTGGAGTTGCCGGCAGACCCTTCGTTTGGGACCAGGAGGTACAAGTGCGTCTTCTGTGGTTACTCGACAGCACGCAAGGGGAACATGAGCATGCATGTCCGCAGGCACACCGGCGAGCGGCCGTTTCGATGCACCGTCTGCACCAAGAGCTTCACCCGCAAGTTTGTGCTTGAGGAGCACATGCGCACGCACTCGGGCGAGAGACCTTTTGAATGCCACTATTGTCTGTCGACGTTCAGCCAGAAGAGCACCCTGTCCGTGCACGTCCAGCGACACACAGGACTCTGGCCACACAAGTGCAGGCTGTGCAACAAGGCATTCTTCAGCAAAAACAAGCTCATCGAGCACATGATGTGCCACTCAGATTCCCATCTTTTGAGGCCGTAAAATGATGGGACTTTCATTTGCGATGTGGTGGCATTAAATTGTGTTTCTCATAGTACTCAGTTTATCACAGTGTTTGCTTGAACCCATCTTGGGTTCGAGCAGGGAGGGTAAGACACCAGACACCAGCCAGAGAACCATTTCCAATATTCCTGTGTTATAGAGAATTAAGAGTCTTGAATTGTAGCAATTTTTGTGGGTCTGGTATTCATCGTTGAAGCCTCTGGTCACTGGAAATGCGTTTTGAGACTTCTTCGCAATTATAAAAAAAAGATGTGGTGTGATTTTCATTTTGAATTGAGAGCAAATATTTTTTTTAATAAATCCTTACTAAGTTCTTCTGAGAGCTGCTTCACAGCTTCTGAAATATTGACTACTTTCTACAAGAGAAATTATTGTCGACCTAGTGGCGTGAAAAGTAATACATGTGACATGGAAATCTTATTTCTGCAAGTCACCTTGCCAACTTGTTTTTGCATGCCTGGCACCAACATTTATCAACAATGAGGTCTTACTTGGTTTCATTCTCATTTAAAACAACATGTTAGGCATAAGAAATGAGCGATACCAGATGGGCATGGTTCTCCTTTTACATTTGTTGCTTCAAAAATGCCAGCCCTTTGCAAATTTTGTACTGGTACTTATTGTTTTGTTACTTTTTTATCACGAGTCAAGTTCCTGCTTTAAACATATGATAACAACCCTTTTGAGAGTGCTTTACTTCCAGTGGGCACAATCAAAGATATTTCAGCAGCATTCCTCATGTGATTGTCCTGTTTCTACCTCTTTCTACCTGTTTTTGACAATGGAGATTAATCTATGTAGAGAAGAAGTTGGATAATGATGCTGATGAGTATAGGATCTGTGGTCTGCACTGACCGCTGAATCCGTTGCTCTCGACCGAGAACGAGTGAGTTGGATCCTAAACTCTGTGATGTCCGCCTACTTTAGCATGAAGAGTGTGAAATATGAGTGTACCACCGAAATATCTCTGCAAATAGACCCTTTGCAAAATCCATGCCTTTCTGGTAGATTTCAGACTTTACCGAGCTGCATACTTGTGGTGGAACTAAGTTGCAGTGCTACAAATGTTAGGTTTTCTTCAATGCAACTTCCGTGTTGGTTTTGGTGTAAGTTCCAGTAGTGCCTGTTCTGCTATACTGAAATGTACTTGGCCTTCATGAGCAGAATATGATGTGCAGAGATTCTGGAGAATGAAAGACACTGGACACCGTGAAACATGCGTGCAAGCTCAATGGCTGTTTCATGTGCGTGTGCCAGTGCTAAACCTGTCGTTAGCCGGTCTGTTACCAAAACATTTAGCTCATTTTCATTGTTTGAAGTGATGCCTGTATCATTTTTGGGTAGCTATGATTAGTGGCAGCAAACTGACATATCATTCAATGGTACACATACTATTTGATATGGTATGATATAGTAATCTGATGAACCAACAGGCTCTACAATGCAATAGAAAAGCCATCTTTATTTACTTTCTTTGAAAATAATACAATATAAAGCCCACATCAGCCAATAATGGCTTGTGCGTGGGACGCGACAGGAGCCTCTGCTTTTTGTTGCACACGAAAAAACTCATTAGTTGACCATACCCAAGGGAGTGGAATGTCCTAGGGTCGGTAAGCTATTGACGTGTAAAGGTAGGAACACTAACTTAAAGAATTCAGTAGAACCTCTGCTGTGTCAAGGGTATGGACAAGCAGCTGAGTGTTGATCATGATATGAAAAAGCCTAAATGAATGAGAAGAGAAGACAGGACAGGACATTCGTCCTAATCGTTAGCTTCCTTCCTAATCATTTGCACTTTTTCCCATCACATATAATCAACTAGCCCACCAGTTAATGTTAATACAGCTGAGTGTGTTCTACGCTACAATGTTAATTGGGAAGGGCAGGCGAGCCCCATGGAATTAGTGCAAATCGGAGAATACTGTCCACATGGCGAGATCCTCAGACTGAAGGTGGTCGCACTAGAAATGGTGCTGTTACGCAAATTGGAGCAAGGTTTCAAGATTGGCATAACTATTAGAACATTCATAATGTATGTAATAAAGAAAATAAATTCTGTGGAAGTTCAGTTCTGGCATCTAAAACCTTGTATGTCGGTTTATTCTCAACACCTGCAAAAGATAATATTGAGATCATTTTTGATTAATGACCAAGCAATATATTCAATAGAGGCGCCGCATGTCAAGAAGGGCACTGTTCCTTGTAACCAAAACTTCTTTCCGTTGCAGAGGGAGCGTCCGAAGCGGCGAAAAGTTTGGAGAAGAGCCGGCTGCTCAAGTGTCGCTTCTGCAGCTACACTGCGCTATACCACTCGCTCCTGATGCGCCACGAACGAATCCACACGGGCGACCGTCCCTACGAGTGTGCAATCTGCTCCAAGCGCTTCGTCCAAAAGACCCACCTCGAGAATCACATGCGAATGCACTCTGGCGAAAGGCCGTTCCGCTGCGAACACTGCCCCAAGTCATTTGTCACGTCCTCGGGCCTTGTGGGCCACGCGCTAAGCCATTCCGGTTCGCAGGCCCTGTTCAAATGCGACCTGTGTACCATGGTTTTTGTGGATAGGGCGGCCATCTGGAACCATGTTCGGTTGGCCCACGGAAAGGCGTCCAGCTAGAGTCGTTTTCTTGGTTCATGCTATATTCTGTTTCACCTTGTAAGTTAAAACCGACCGCCACGAATGCTATGAGCCGTCAAAGCCAGTCCAAGGCAGTGTGAGTGTTGCGTGACCTTGAAAACTGGGTGCAGTGACGTGCGGGAAGCGTATCGCATGCTGTGTTTATAGAACTAAATTGCCTCGTAGCATCCACTGTGGCCCAACGTAAGGAGAAATGGGGTATAGTGATCTCTAGAATTCAGAGTATTACTGTGTCAACATTGAAAGAGTTCTGTAGGAAGAGGGTGAGCATCTTTGGGTTTGTTGCCAATACACTGATGTTCCTACTGATCCTGTTACCAAAGGTCAGCATGATTACCACTAATAATAGGGCATTAGTGTCTATAAGCCAAATCATGTGCTTTCCATGTTGCACTTGTGATGCCATGCTTTCTGAGTTGTGCCTTGTAACCATTTGTGTTGGACTGCATCTCCTACCCAATTTGTCATCCATCTTTGGGCTCTGCTATCTGGAAGTTAGTAAGATTTTAGCCGTAGAAGTGTTGGGTTTTGTGACGTAAGTTTCTGAAAAACTGAAGGAGTTATATCTGCACATTCTGAAATGCCATAAGGAGGTAGGCAGCATTTTTAATCCTGTGCACTTTGAGTATGATGTGCACTACATATACTATCAATGGTAAAAGCTGTGCCCAGACTGATGGTAGTGTTTTTAGAGCGCAGCTCTTAGGTGCCCGTTTCCGGCTTAAGCGGCGTCGCCGTCGCCGTTGCCGTCGGCGTAATTGCGCGGTGCATTATGGGTAAATTTTCCCGAAGGAACCCGAGGACCTTCGGGAGGACCTCGGGTTCCTTCGGGAGGACCTCGGAAGGACCTCGGGTTCCTTCGGGAGGACCTCGGAAGGACCTCGGGTTCCTTCGGGAGGGCCTCGGGAGGACCTCGGGCTCCTTCGGGAGGACCTCAAGAGGACGTCGGGTTCCTTCGGGAGGACCTAGGGGGAGGGTCACGTGACGGTGATGTCATCAGTGATGATGACGATGACGATGCGGATGCCAATGAAGTCATCAGTGGCGATGACGATGGCGATGTGGATGCCAATGACTTCATCGGCATCCGCATCGTCATCGTCATCATCACTGATGACGTCATCGTCACGTGACCCCCCCAGGACCTCGGGTTCCTTCGGGAGGACCTCGGAAGCACCTCGGGTTTCTTCGGGAGGACCTCGGAAGGACATCGGGTTCCTTTGGGAGGACCTCAGAAGGACCTCGGGTTCCTTCGGGAGGACCTCGGGAGGACCTCGGGTTCCCTCGGGAGGACCTCGGGGGGGGGGTCACGTGACGATGACGTCATCAGTGATGATGACGATGCCGATGACGTCATCAGTGACGTCACTGATGACGTCATCAGTCATGATGACGATGGCGATGCGGATGCCAATGACGTAATCGGCATCCGCATCGTCATCGTTATCATCACTGATGACGTCATCGTCACGTGACCCCCAGGTCATGTGACCCCTCCCCCGGAGGTCACATGATCTCCCAGGTCACGTGACCCCCGAGGTCACGTGACCCCCCCCCCCCCCTTCCGAGGTCAACTGATCCCCCCAGTACCCTTGCCTCCTCCTCCTCAAGAGCTGCGCTCAAATTCGGCGTTACAGGGAGTTGTAAACGGCTTTCATTTTTAATTAAATTTTAGCTTTTCAGTGCGAAATCACACTTAAAAACTAAAATTTTAAATGTACCGCAAAATACCGAGTGTCCACCCATTCCACAAAAAGCGCCTGCACTCAGTTTTGTCACATTCGGAAAATACAATAGCCACGCTCAAAAAAAAAAGACATACTATCTTCGCATATTGTTGTCCTTAGGCAGGGGTCGGCAAACTTTTGCAGCGACGGGTCGAGTCGTCACGGAGCCGACATGGAGGGGGCCGAACGGCAAGTCGCGTAGACGGAGGTGGGGTGCCTGGAGCGCGTCTCCGACTAGTGAGTTTACCGCGGCCAAAAAAGTGGTCCCTTGATTTCCGCCTGATGACGTCCTAAACGTGTTGTGCTCTCGCCGGTCGCGACCCCGGCGGCGTTTTAACAGTTGTGGTATAAATGGCAGACACCTGTTCTGCTGTAGGTCGCTCTCCACTTTGACAGTTCACGGAAGCTGGAGCAGCCGGAAGTTGGGACGCCTGGGACGCCGTGACGACAGCGACACTTGCGTTCGCTTGTGCTTTTCGCCAGCATTTCTACAGCCAACCGCCAGGATCACGACAGGCAACAGCATGACACTCCGGCTTCTGTGACGTCATTTGTTGCTACTTGGGGACCACTTTTTATGTATGGGCGGGATAGGACGCTAAGCACACCAGTTGAAGATGCGATCCAGGCACCATAACGGAGGGGGGGGGGGAAGGGGGGAGGGGACGAAAAAACGGCAAAAAGGTAATGACGACGTCCTCTGCCCAAGTATGGGGATGCTGGACAATGCCAATTGGAAGTGCTCCTTGTTTCTGCTAACCCCATGCGAAGTCCTAACTGCTGTGTGGCTCTTGGATCTGTGTGAGGAAGCTGCAAGGGGGGGGGGGGGGGTCCTTTTCTGGTGCCATGCCAGGGGCGGCATGAAACTGCTTCATGGTGTTGCCGACAGGTGACCTAAGGAATACCCATCCCCCAGTTATACTTGCAAATTTTGAGTGGGCGCTTGCTTGGGATTTTGCAGTGTATAAGATGTCATACTTTTCTTTTTGAGCAAATTCTGTTGGTATGTGTGCTCTAGTCAAAAATATCTTAGGTACTGTGGACGCTATCCCACATTTTTTGATCTCAGAAATACAAGATAGCTATTGCAAGGTCTACAGCTTGTCGTAAAAAAAAATATTGCAGGTTTTCTTTTTTGTTTTTTTGCAAAAATAAACAACATTTTTTTAACGCTCATTTTTTGCACAAATGTAGCGGTAGCAATCGGAACCAGATACCAAAGTTTCAGCAATATCTTTCTCTTATTACAAGTGATATTCTGAAAATTTCGAAGGGAAAATGGGGTCCATTCCTAGCTAACCGGTGCCATTCAGCTGCATGTATTCTGTGGCTCCATTGGCCACCATTTTCCCATTGAAATTTTCAGAAAATCACTTAACTTTTTAACAAAATGTGCATTAAAAATTCCTGTAAATGTTTTTCGTGGACACCCCATACTACTACCTCTCATAAAGTGTTAGTAGCCTATTTTGTTTTGAATGCATTGTGAAGAGAAACTGCAGGTAGTGTGCAATGTTCCTACATTTATCTGGTCTGGAAAAGGGTTTAAGAACATCCTACCATTAATCGAAAGCAGGGTGTTTAGTGATGTTTGTGATGTTTTGGGGTCCTAGAATTCTTGTCATTCCATTTTTTGGAGAACCAATGCCAGTTGTAAAGTGTCATCTCTACAACTTACAGGCGCAAAGCCTTTCTTTCACGATAGCCCTTTATTTAGCTTGTCTGCTGTTGGCAGTGTAACTTCCAGGAACCCTGGGTAAACTTAGAATTGACCCAACATCTCAGGTTATTCTAACGATGACATCTGCTCATTTGTGATTGTTCTATCAGGGTATATCTTGAGGTAGCTTCTCACCACATTATGATCATGAGGTCTGCCACCTGTTGCAAAAGCTGGGAGAGCCCACTGTGTACAGCATCATTGTTCACCATCAAACATTATTGAGGAAATTTTAGTGTAGTTCTGCTAGTGGCGTTAGTGTCTTCAAGCTCCTGTACTACCTCATCTGATACAGCAAGAGCACAGGCATCGTTTGTTTTTATTCCGGTAATAATTGAGGCTGAAAAGCTTTTGACATGTTTCATTGTTTTTGCATGTTCATTTCTTATGAATGGCAATCTCTGTTGTCTGTAAGGATGTGGTATCATCACCTTGGCAGTTGGCATTTGTGCCAACCGCCATGAAATATAGCTCTAACCCATGAAATATAGCTCTAACCAGAGTAAGACTCTACTCACTGATTCATAGACTTGACTATGGAAAAACAATTGTACTTTTTAAGAAATTGCTAGCTTATAATTTTCAATCGTAGTATACACTCATCAATTTCTTATCAAGCCCCTGTAATGTCAACAGGGAACGAAATATTTTGACTAGTCAATTGAACTGCTTCAGAGTCATCTTCATTTCATAGGGTTTTATACAACTCCTTTTGATGGCTGGTTCACATTTAGAAATATGCTTCTGTGTCTGCATAAGAATTATTACTAATAGGTGTGAAATTCAAGTTGCCAGAGAGAAGAACAATCCAAAAAGAGTGACACACTTGATGGTAAAATTCTGCGACTATCGTTTTTGAAATTTTTTAAGCATTATAAGGAAAATATCAATATCACGTGTCTGTAGATAAGAGTCCTAATAGTGTATTCTTTAGAATAAGACATTGCATACAGATAGAAATGTTAAACATTGATGCAACAGTTGGAACTACTAATACCATCCTTCTCTCAGTGTCTACTACATGTCACGTTTTCAGGATTTTAGTTTTTCATGGTGCATTATGGGGAAATTAGTCTCTTTTATGAACTGTGTTCTCGCTATATCGAGTCCAACTTGTGGTATGTAAATATGCCTAGACTTAAGTTGGCTTTAATCACCTGACAACTCTTATGTTTCATGCCACATAGGCCATCCACTTGATTTAGAAGGGATTGTTACAAAGTTTGTCAGTTTACATTCCCACAAACTTGCCCAGTCTCCTTTTGTGACAGCACAAAGTATTTTGGGTGTCAGAATAAAAGTGCCAATCTGAAAATGACCCTGGTCTGTCAGTAACAGTTCCTGGCATTTCATTGAAAAAAAAAACACTCCTTGATCCCTTGATTCTCTAGTACTTGTCTTTCAGAAAAATCCTGTTTATTCTACTCATACCCAGACTGCATTTGTTATGTAACCCTTGTTACCTTTAGTTCTTGAGTTGAGTATCATCAATCATCATTTGACTTGTTTGTAAGTTGTGCATGAGGTTTTTTTGTTGTTGTTTGTTTTTACTTTATTCTGCAAACAGTTTGTGTTCATATAAGTTATTAGTTGGAGTTCTGTGCTGGGAGAGCACTTTGTCAAGAATGAAATCTAGCTTTACTTTTAGAATATGCCAAGGCTCATTCAAAGCATACAAACATTTTTGTTACATTACCCTGAGGCGAGTTTTATGCTCCATTTGAAACTGCCAATCCTTAATGATTCGTTTGTTTGAATGTGTGCTTTTATAGTGCATGTTAGGGAATGTAAAAAGCCTAGAGCTCAGCTGCATGCTTAGAATACATACCTAAGCAGAATGCATATTGCCTGCCACTCTTGATATTTTATCAACGTCAACACATCATTTGAAGCACTAATTAGGTCTTCGGTTTCTAATAATATCTTTGTTCTTTTTTGTGTTGGCAGTCTGACAGATTCAAATTATAATATTAAGCATACGATTTAAACACTAATGGTATGTAAACAGGGCAGCAGCCCTTTGAGCATTTGGTTTATCTTTAACGATGATCTAATGTCAATGCCTGGATTGTTTCCCGTTTGAAGTGCCCCTCTCAGTGTCGCAACATTTGTATGACATCCTATATTTTCCAGCATTCGCAAACATTGAATTCTCAATACCAGATAATAATCGAGGTGTCACAATGCATTTAAGTAAGCCTTAGAATGGCAATTCACATTTTGTTCAGAGACGAGCTAATTGGACTTGTTGAAGCTATATGACTCTTATTGACATGTCAACTGCCTTCCTGATTTTTCCTTGGGGTCTTTATTGCTCCTTCGAGCTGGGATGGCGATAAATATGTTGCTTGTCTCACAGAAATCCAGTCGTCCCTGACACTTTGTCCGTGTTGCTCGTGGTAGTTACCGTAGCTCTGTACTCTTCTTGCAGGGAACTCTCACCTGTTCTACGCTCGTCACAAGAAGTTCCACTGCGTCTTCTGCGACTACAGCACAGAGCACAAATGGAACATGGTGGTTCACGTTCGGACTCACACGGGGGAACGCCCCTTCAAGTGTGCCCTCTGCCCCAAATCTTTCTCGCGCAAGAATGTGCTCGAAGAGCATGTGCGCACGCACACGGGCGAGAGGCCCTTCAAGTGTTCCATGTGCTCTGTGACCTTTGCGCACAAGAACTCGTTGGTGACTCACCTCAAGCGCCACGTGGGCGAGAAGCCGTTTTCGTGCCACATCTGTGGCAAGGCCTTTGTGGGAAGGTTTGCTCTCAACAGGCACCTCATCAGCCACACGAAGGCGCATTTGTTTTAGGTTTTTCGTCGAAGCGCTGTAACGACGCATGCTGCGCTAACCTCATTTTGTCCAGGTGATGGTACTAGGCTCAGTCTTTGGAAGCAGTACAAAGGACATCTGATGTATAATTTGTTTTCAGCAGATATGAGCCGGAGACCTCCGGTGATGTAAATGTATATGAGCCGGTGACCTCTGGACAGTAGTTATCGGAAAACGAAACCTTTACTCAGTTTCACCCTACTTTCCTATGTTCGACCGCACCGGACCCTACGAGCCACCTAGGCTAATCCAGCTCTGTGAACGTAGCACGTGACACGCTTGCCACCCATCGCTGGGACCATCTCTCTCCAAGGTCGTATGACACTCACATGGCTTTGGATTGACTCTGATGGTCTGTAGAATCCGCTGTGGTCGGTTGTAAGGCGAAACGGAGTTTAGTAATGATTTGCTGCAAATTCTTGGAATTTGCAGCAAAACAGCAAGGTTGGCTGCATAAACTAAACAAAACTGGAAGCCATTGAATAAAAATATTAGGGTAATTTTTTTTCTGCCTGTCCTGGGAATTTGTGTTGGATATTCGTCCAGTCCAAGTAAGCCTGGTCTGGCAAATTCTAGTAACAAATATTGTCGGTTCCAGCTCTTGGAGAGGTAGCTAGGAAGTACTCTTGTTACATTATTATGTTGTAAGGCTGGGTGGATGAAGATATATCTGATGTTGCTTGGGTGTCTTCTGGTGGTTGTTTGCAGCTACAATCTCGTAACGCTTTTAATCAGGTTGAAGATAGCCAGCCATAGGGCGTTGTGGAACCTCTGCATCTTCTAGTGCTAACAGTCTGCTGGCTTTTACTCTTCCTTCAGAGGTTCTCAGTGCTTCGTTTTTGGATTAACCCTTGTGATTAAGTGGTCTATACAAAACAAATTGAGTGCAACACAAATTGTTTGCAGGTTTAGACTTGTTCAGGCCATTTGTTTGACATTGTTGGCTATAGCTGAGGGTTCATTTTCATTTTATATTTGCACATACGATTCCTCACAATATACACAATTGCTTATGTTCACAATCTGCAACAGGTACACATTTATTATACACTAAGGAAAGAGTGTCATTCATATTTGTTAATGGTTTATGAAACCCATGAGTGTACCCCCTGTGGTTTACTACGGGTCTCTTGTTGGGCAAAGCGAATCTGACGACAGAGTAAAGATTTGCATTATGTAGTTTTATCTTTGCACTTGCGCAGATACTTTCAGATTCGAGCGTTAGTAGGTAATGATTCAACAAACCACTCATAGGCAAAAAAAAAAAAAAGGGAAAAAAGTGCTTTGATGGTTACTCAGTTTTGCTTCAGCAGCACCACCGAAAGACCAACACATTTTGATAAGACTGCTGACTGGGCGATTTGGTAGTTGTGGGTCTTGTGGTGCACTGTAACATTAATCAGCAACACAATTTGGCCGTGTTCCAAAATTTACTCAATCTTACTCCAGGGTAAGGGTTTTGTACCTTGGCGTTCCAAAACCTACCCGCGTCCAGCGCTTTTCAATCTGTGTTGTCGCGTGACACGACCCACTGGAGTAACTCGGATCCATTTGTGTAAGATTTGGAACACAGCCTTTGTTGCTAGTTGGTGATACTGGAACACAAAGGTTTCCAGCTAGGTGTTTTCACCTTGTCTTGTTGAATGGTCCAGTGGGACTTGCCATTGCTATGCAGATTTTATGGTATCATTTTGATTCCTTGTTCTTGCAATCAGTGTATGTGGACCAATTGTCTTCCAATTCTTAACATTTTGGCCAATTCTTCGCATACTTCTGTATTCTTTTCCTTTTGGTGAGACTTGATGAAGGATCTGCAGTTGATTCTAAGCAGTTTCTAAAATCAAACTAATTTCGTTGTTATCTTAAGAATTGTAATAAAAAAAGTGCAGCCCCTTCTGGAGCATTACTGATTTCCCCTTGTGATGAACTAAGGTACTGGTTTGTGCTTTATTTTTTTTATCATACCGTTTAAAAAATGCACCATTATTTTCTCGGTCATCCATATATTTTAACCCTTTCATCCAGCACGAAGAATGCACAAGTGTCTTTCTTGAGGTAACAGCGAGTTTAAGTTTTAATGCAGACCATTCTTTTTTTAAATACATATTCGACACAGCTTTGGACTATGCGTGTTACATTTGTATCTACTCACTGGGCATCAGTATATATTCTTATTTTAGTGGCAACATATTTTAGCATTTTTTTTTATTATTCTGTATGCAAAGTGTTTGTTTCTAGAGCCAGCTTCATTAAAGGGTAATTGCAGAGGGGCATCTTTGTTGCACGATTCTGTTCTTCGGGAAAAATATTAAACTGCATACAGTGACCGTGCATGGTGGCAGCCATGGTGATTCATGATCACAAATGCTTTGGATTGGTGTCAAAACAGTACAACCACCAGGTCTAATGCTACTGTTGCTCTAACAGCTAAGGTAAGACATCAGAAGTGGCGGCTTCTACGGGGTTATGGCATCGGAACGGATTGAGTGCGAAAGGCTAGGATCAACACCAAGATAAGGTAGTAGTGCTGAATTCGTGACGTCACTTGCAGGAGTCCAGTGTTTGGCACGAAGTGGACACGAGTGCTGTGCCAGCGTTCGACTGGGACTCACGTCGTCAGTCAGTGAGCACTAGTTTCAGCCGAACGGTCACGCAGCACTTTTGTCCCATCTCTCGCACGCTGGCCTCTTGTAGATGACGTAGAAAATCCAGCGCAACGGCCTTGTCCGTGACGTTGGGCAGCTCCTCACGCTCGCTCGCCTTGGCGTGTTCCAGAGGGCGGCCAGCCTTCCTTCGTCGAGCTTCCTCACAAGTACAAGAAGTTCAAGTGTGTCTTCTGCGACCACGCGACGGAACACAAGTGGAACATGATCATGCACGTGCGCACACACACTGGGGAGCGGCCATTCCGGTGCGACGTGTGCGCCAAGAGCTTCACGCGCAAGTTTGTGCTCGAGGAGCACATGCACACGCACTCGGGCGAGAAACCCTTCAAGTGTCCCTCTTGTCCGTCGGCGTTCAACCAGAAGGGGTCGCTGTCGGCGCACATGCGACGACACACTGGGCTCAAGCCACACCAGTGCAAGCTCTGCGGCAAGGCGTTCCTCAGAAAGAACAAGCTGTCCAGGCACATGCTGTGTCACTCCAAGGCCCACCTCTTTTGAGGCCGCGGGGAACGGGGACCAACCCTCGATTGTCCGTGTAGCGGTGTAGCGGAAATAAACTGTATTTGGTGTTGTCGATTTGTTGTTTTTATATTTATTTGGACACAACGCTGAAGGTCAAAGCAGCAAGAGAGAGTCGCTGTTTAACCGTCTACGCTTTGCGGGAGTATCTCTTTTAGTGATGGGACGAATCACCGGAGATTCGGATTCGGACAGATTCGGAAATTTCCGAACTTTTCGCGACGAATATTCGGCAGATTCGGAGATTCGTCAGATTCGTCGCTGGATGCAGGCGGCAGCATGAAGGTTGTCGTAAACCTCGCGTATGCGGTCAGTTGTGCGCTTCTTAAATACTGTTCCCGCATATAACCAGATATCGTCTTGTTTATTTCAACGTTGTCATTGTAAACCCTGGCACGCGCCCAGGTCCAGCTGAGCTGATCGATGTGGTTGACGTAGGCCTAACCAATGCACGGTCTCGCTTTCTGTGCGGTTTCGCGGTGATCGGTGCAATGTAGCGAAACGCTGTGTATTATATGTAATCTGCGGCAACTCACAATAAATATATATTCAGGCAAGGAAATTATTCGTCTCCCTCTCTAGAGCTGCGTATGTCTGTACCTGTAAGGCGCGAGAGCGAGATGAATGTTGCTCGTCACAACTTAGGCCGCGTACTGGCACCGGTGGCAAAGAAAAACTGTCGTTTCTCCGTTCTCGGCAGCAAGTTTTGTGTACATGAACTTTATTTGATAAAAAAGAAACACAACACAGGGGTGTCCAAAACAACTTCATTGTTCGGAAACAAACACTAAATCGGAAAGCCTGCATTAACCAGGAGTTTCAGATTGTTTCCCGTGTTCCAATAGAAATACCTCAGTGGGCACTCGTTGGAGATAATCGAATTGAACATACTCACTTATGTGGTGTGTGCCACTGCGATAGTAATTATGGGCACGAAATGTGTCTGTACCGAACAGCATGTACGGCATCGATCTCTTGCGGCGATGAAAACATGCGCATGTGTTTCCACGTGCGTGCACCAACATGCCTATTTGGGTCGTGATCCGGAACCGAAACCAATTTTTCCGCGATGTCTGGCTAGGCTACCGTTCTCGATAAACATCCAAAATAATATTAACAAAGCGGAACATATTATTTATTACTCTAATATTATATTACAATATTATTTCGTGCACTTTGTAGAATTTATTTAATTTAATATCACGAACAGTTGAAACACACATCAACGTGATTTGGCAACCATGGCAACGCTCCGAATCTTTCCGAACTTTTCCGAATCGCTTGAGATTCGGCTACTTTTCCGAATCTTTCCGAATCTTCAGATTCGTCTCCGAATCTCGATTCGGATAAAGATTCGTCCCATCACTAATCTCTTTTTCGCTGTGCATTGACTTTTTGACTGGTTCTTAATTTGCACCTAACCTGAGTGCACTGAACGTAGTAACCTGGTGAAACTTATATTTTCTCAAATTTCGCTTCATTTTAAAAGTTATTGGCAAATTAAAATGACAAAAACAAGTAAAAAATAATTATCACGTCCCTGGTCCTGGCTTGGGTTTAGTTGCCTCACCGGCGGATAGAGGGCGCTGATGCACTCGGTGCCATTAGGTTTCGGTTTCAACGTGAACGCGGCTATGGTGCTGTTTTACGTTCTTTTTGCGTAATTTTGTGATACGATTATTTTCTTGTAGCACACAACCAATGAAACAGTGGTATTGAGCCACTTTGAGGACGACGAGGTGTATTTGAGCCTAAATCGCGGGCTTTTTTTTACCAACTCTTTTGATGTATCTGATTATGGTCGGTTGCGAAACTCCTGACTGATGTACAGGGAAGATTACCATCGTCTACGGCCGTGCCCGATGACCACCAGTTTCCAGAAAAAGAAACTAATGAAGAGACTAACACGTGAATATGAAGAAGCATATCGACAGCTTGATTAGCAATCTGCTGAATCAGCCAGAACAGATGAACTCGCGAGTTTACTACTCACTGTTTGGTTTTTGTGGGCACCCAACATTTAGAGAACTTTGCAAACTAAAAACGTATCATGTAATGACGCAGATAATTGATGTAACTAAAAGATTGGTCTCGGCCTCTTAAAAAAAAAAATTCAGTACTTAAGCATGTTTTGACAGGCCGAGTAGGAAATTTCTTATATTAACAACCCTGCGAAAGTACTCACAAGCAGCATTTCGCGAAAGTGATCCTTGGAAATAAATTAATTTTATATTAACAGTTGCTTACTCAAGATATGATATGTCACAGGCCCGTCAAGTTAAATCTGACATTTGTCTTTCGTAAAATTGGTCAAATAAAATTAAAGGATGCAGGAGGAGAAATACCTGGGAAAGTTTGGCTAAATTCTAGCGCTAGGCAACACTTCACAGACCTGTGTGAACAAATATTTCTTTGTTTGAACAGATTCGCTTCGTAAATTTCGGCGTCGCCAGCCACCAAAAGTAAAGCTCTATTCGCCATCGACAATCCTGGACTCAAGTAATTGTTATGCAAACGGCTTCTCTTTTTTTCTTTGCGTTAAATATTGCGGATTTTAGATACTGGCAAAAAGTAAAACAGCGTACGCAAAAAAAGCGTCGAAATTATTACGCATATCCCGAACCCAAAACACGTTTTCAATTAGCAAATAGAAACGACTTTATATCTTTGTGCACGCTATTCCAAAACTCGCTACTATTGTCGTTGCAGTTTCTTACGCGGGAAGTCTCAACTGGTTATCTAAATAGAATCAATAAATCACTTAAATGACTGTCGAAATGGGAGCGAGCACGGTATACAATTTCTTAATCTTTATAAGCAAACCGACCAACCGAATGTCTACGTCGCAAAAAAGGAATGGGAAACTCAAACAGATGTAGGAATGATATAAGGAACAAACAAATCGCCTGATGTTGACGTACCATTACTTCTAGCCTCAGATAAAACACAAGTTAAACGTTCGTTGTCTATCTCCGCCGCGAGTTTCGTCAGATAATCAAAAGGAACAGATTTCGATATATTCTAAATACAAAGAACGATACTTTCAGGAAATACAGATAGTCTCCTTGCGCTGACTATTCTTGACGCCTTCCGGTCCTAAATACACGATATAAATATACGCGCTTCTTACTGAAAATGTTCCACCACTATTAGTAAAGCAACCTTAATTGTCATAAGGACCTTTGAACCCTCGTGATGTCTTAGTCGTCGAGTAGACGTATCGGGCTACAGTTTCCGAAGTCAGACAAGAAAGCGCGGCGAAACGCGACGAAAAACACGATTACAACGCATCCGCCAAGGCTCAGTGGGGAGAGCGGAGCAGCAACTTGAAGCAACCTAATGGCTGCCGGCTGCCGCGTCACGTGATTCCAAGATGGCAGCGCCCATGCGGAAGAGGATGAAAAGGTCTACACTAGAGGAAAGGTAGTGAGCTCAGAAAGCGCTCACGTCTGCCGCACTCACGTGTCGACGGCTCGAGAGGGCGCCACTAAAGCATGTACTGAATAGGCCGGGTGAAGCGGGCGGCTCGCATTGCATTTGCTGCACAACTAAGCACTAATTCTGCATGACACTTCATTGGCCATAAACGACAGCAAACACTGGGTAAAGATCAGTTCAGAAGGGGAGCCACTTCGCGCTGCCAAGCCGCAAGCCAAACGTGATCGCCGAAGGTTTACGGAACGCTCGGAAACGGTTGGATCCTCCAGCCTATACGACCGCAGCGCCGCCGCGTACATCCGGGATCTTTCTACGCTCGCCGCTTCACAGCAATGGGCGCGTTCAGTAGCGCCTCCCTTGCCTCCGAACGGAGTGATTCGAGTCGGAGTCATCGGAGCGCCTACTGAACGGCAAAAAAACCCGCTGCTCCAAACCTGCTTCTACGCAATTTCCGCTTCCTCCCCTGTGCCAGACGGTCTCCGAACTGGAAGCAGACGATGGCGAGCACGATCGCTTTTATTTGACGCCAGTATTGAAGTCTTTACAAGGTCGTTGCAGAAAAAACGGGTGATTGTACACATCAGCGCTGCTGTTCGAAGCGATGCAACGCGATCGAGCCCTTCGCTTGGCGGTGCAAAGGCAGCTACTGTTATAAAAGCCGACAAAAACCGTCGTCAGCACACGTAAAATATAGAGCTCGGCGAATCTACGCCGCCGGTTGCGATACTTTTATACGGCCATACGTTTGTTTTGCCCTTCGTAACGAACTCGTATGCACACGGGAAATTCGGCCGCGCTCGGCGTTCAAGGTTTTGTCGGCCGAAGCGAGCCTCAGCCAACGTGCACCCCGATTTAGCTACGCAAACAAAACATTAATCGGTATCATGCTCTGCGTGAGTGTCCAACCGGCTTCCAAAGTCGCGGTCATACCCTGCCTTGCTCTGTTGAGCGCGGACAGGACTATCCGCGTTTCCGTGCAACGGCGATCAAGACACGGCGTCAAATGAACGTTTCCGTTGTTTATTAGCATATTCAAACCAAGCAAAATACGGTCCAATGCATTTTCCGAAGGAGCCTTACCTCCAAAAGAAATTCGGACGCGTTATTCGTCTTACCTTGAGCACTTTTCATTAACAAAAGCGAGCAAACTGCTATGGCGCACCGTGAATTCACGAGGGCGCCCATCAAACCATTCGGCCAATCTTGGCCGCGACACGATCACATGGTCGTGTTGCCGCGGGGTCGATCGGGATCTCGAATTCGGCTCCCGACGCGCCGCTTTCTCTCCTAGCCACTGGAGGGCGCTGCAGGCGCCCCCGTGGCAGGCGAGGAGAAACCTCCTCGCCCATCGATAGATATATACTCGGTGGGGCAGGGGGCAAGAGGCCTCTAAGAACTCCGGACGCGACCGAGACGCAGGCACTGGCAGGCAAGTGGGTGGCGACCGGATCTGGATATCGCGGGACGCGAGGCCTAAGGGCCTACTTTGTGTTTAGCGTTGGTCTTAACGTGCGTTTGTAAATATTTGTATAATGTCGCGTGTATTTGTAGTTTAGATTAAGTGTTTTGTAGCGTTGTGTTTTGTTGTACGAATAAACTGGGAGCGGAATCCCGCTCCC